GTAAAAAAATGCTGAGGATGTCTATAGGTTTCATATAATCACAATTCTTTGCTCGTCGTTCCAAATCATTTGCTAATGTTCCTTTCTAAAATTAAAATAGTATAAATTGGTTTAATATAAAAAATGTATTACATTAAAAATATTTTAAGAAAATCATAGTTACATAATAATATGGTAAAACAATTAACATTTCACTTGTTGTATTCATGACTGGATCTGCAGTGCCTTTGCAAGTCGAATCTATACATTCTATAACATTTGGATGATTTATCAATTTGTAATATTCAACTTCTTTTGTTGCTAATTGTTGATCTTCTGGTCCATGACAAACAATTTTCTTAATAGCATACTTTTTGTGTGTGATGGTATCCTCAACTAAAAGTACTGTGCTAAATCCACTAGAAATATATAATCTAAACTTATATTTATACTCTATCAGCTATCATGCATTTTTAAAGTTATTAATGTTTCTATAAAAGTAACAAAGATGCTGTAAATATTGGTTTTTGCACAAGGAAAATCTTGTTTTTCTTGTATTAAATAAATTTAAATATAAATTGTTTAGAAATAATCTTATGTACATATTTTGTTATGAAACATATGTATATAATAAATTATGTGATTATCAATAAATATATTTTAAGCATAATTATACGAGCATCCGTGCTTTCCATCTGATGACACAAATCGACACAGGTGTGATTCTATCTTTGTCATTCTCTGAATATCAAGAAAGATAAAACAACTCTTGTATCGACTTGTATTATCAGACGGAAATCATTCTGAGTCGCTTAATATATACTTGCCCATCTCCAAGGTGCTCACAGACCTTATATTTCCTCGAGTTAACCGTAATAATTTCTTTAGTGCATATACAACCCATTCTTAAAATTATATTTAAACCTAAGCTATTCATTTTCGTTGTTTATTCTCATTTTGATAAAAACAAAAAAAATTTCGCAAGATTATCTCGCTATTTTCATTTCTAAAATATTAACGTTAGGTGCTTTCCAATTGCTTAACGCATCTTAACACAACATACACAGAAATGCACAAAGTGTTAACATTGTAGTATACGATCAATTGGAACAGAGTAGTTGCTCTCCACACATTTACACTGATCCTCAGATAATTCTCATTTGTGACGTCATACTAGTCATAACTTCAGTTGCATACGAGTTCTTTTTGCATTCGGCTAGAGTTCTATACATAAAAAGAAGCGACATCGATGTCGAGTTCCTGGTTGGCAGTCTGATATATATTCTGATTGGATATCCTCTTCTAATGGCACATTCGATACATATGCACTGATACGGTGTTGCTCTGATGCCCTGACACGGTGCTATCCTGACACGATGTTGCCCTGATAGGGTGCGAGTGCAAAACTACACTAATTAATAATTAAAAGCGGCTAAGTACTTTTGTTTTATTCTAATTTGTTATATACACATATTTAATTTCATATTATATGTATATTTTTATGTTATAACACTATATGTTGTTTTTATTTGCGATATGACTCTTATTGTCCTTTGTCTACGTTCAATTATTTTTAATTAATAATAATATTAATAATAAAATAATAATAATAATAATAATTTAATATTCTTATTTTTAATTAATTTTCGGCCTTTCTTCTTTTATTAAACAACATATTTTCATCATCACTACTACTACTACTTGTTTCTAATAATTTATCTATAATAAATAATATTCTTTCTTTATCCATTTTGTAATTTTTTGCTGCCTAACTAGTTTTATTTGTCCGAACACCAAACTGCACTGACAAAAATGTCAGTGCAATATTTCTTGCACTTGTTCGGTTCATTCGGTTGGTCCGAATTAGAGTCCCTATAATAAGGAGTCTGGCCAATCTTTCTAGTTTGCTAAAACATGGCGTCGTAAATATAGGGTGCTTTCCACCTATCGACACAGGCGACACTGTGGGTGCGTTCCGAGTTACGCATGAAGCGCGTATACTGCATTACGAGTCAAAGCGCATGAAGTGCTTTAGGCTGGTATTCATAGTCAGTTCTTATTTGAAGACTGTCTTAAGTAATGTCTTATGCTGAATTCACACTGCATCCAATTTTCGTCGTATGACGACTCTGCAACCAATCAGGAAACAAAATTTTGCTTCGTATCGATGATACGATTCTTCTAATTGGTTGCAGAGTCATCGTACGACGAAAATCGGATGCAGTGTGAATCCAGCATTAAGATGATAAAGCGGCCCTCTGATTGGTTCGTAAGCCCGGATCCTCATACGGGCAACAGCGCTTTGACACCAAACGCTGATTGGTGAAAAACCGGTGGCGAGGGTAAAATTTACCCCCATAACCCGTTTTTCACCAATCAGCGTCCGGTGTCAAAGCGCTGTTGTCCGTATGAGGATCCAGGCTAAGAGCCCCAACACAGACTTTTGCATAACGCATAAAGCATGTGCATAAGGAA